AAACAAAAGTTGTCCGTTACTCTGGCTCCACAGAGAAACAAACCATTCAGTTTGATGATAAAGGTAAACCTCTCTATTTATCTGGTCTTTATAACAGATACATAACACAGAACAGGAACCTGGATATCTGTGTGTCTGACTGTGGAGCTAGATCAGTAGTAGTGGTCAATCAGGCAGGGAAACTGAGATTCAGGTACACTGGACATACTCCTCCTCCAAAGAACCAACCATTCTATCCACTAGGAATCACCACAGACAGTCAGAGTCACATCCTTACAGCTGATTATTACAATAACTGTGTCCACATCATAGACCAGGATGAACAGTTCCTCCGTTACATAGACTGTGGACTGAGTTATCCCTGGGGACTGTGTATAGATACAAATGACAATCTGTTTGTTGTTCAAAGGGGAAAAGTGAAGAAAATCAAATATCTGAAGTGAAATGCAGCGCTGTGTTGTATTCTGTATACTTAAGCAAATAGAAGTATGCAATATCACTGATATATGTACAATGTATATGATTATGTATATTAGTATGCTGATCAATGATAATTGCTATTATGCATGTACATGTACTAGTATTTTTTTTAAACTGTATTGCTCAAGATATATCATACTTGCAAATATGGAAAATAAAACTGTTGTCTCTTAAAAACTTCTGTAGCACCATTGATAGAACTATACAATTCAGCTCAGAAAGATGTATCTGTATATAGGAGATAACTACTCCCTAGAACCCCAACATGCAAATACAGCTAGATAGCTGATTTTATTATATAGCTAATACGTAGTTTCAAATAAAATACTACTAAAATCTAGAGAATTTTAGTGTTCAATATCTTGGCGTTTTATTGAAAGCTGAGTTTGTATTACATACATAAATATGCCCAAAACATTCAGAATACAAGCTTTCAATACTGAATGCCCCGTTGTAAACAAAAACCAGAAGTCTCTGTCGAGACTGTAGCTCTACTGGTTTGTACTTGTAAGAAAGGATGAGAAAAGAAGCCATTGCGATCAGACCACAACTGTAGAAGGAGTAGCTTTTCAAAGGAATTTCACATATTTCTATTTTAGTAACAATGGCAACACTGTTCATCAAAATCAAAAACTGATGCACTATTTTATATATCTCAGTGTAGTCTACTTGTGTGCCAAGTTATATTGAAATCAGACCAAAACTGTAGGAGGAGTAGTGTTTTAAAGGAATTTCACAGAAAATTCTTTTTTTTAGTAACCATGGAAACACCGTTCATCGAAATTAAAATCCAATGCATTATTCTATGTATCTTAATGCAGACCACTTGTGTGCCATGTCATATTGAAATCAGATCATAACTGTAGGAGGAGTAGCGTTTTAAAGGAATTTCACAGAAAATTCTATTTTTAGTAGCCATGGCAACACCGTTCATCGAAATCAAAAACTGATGCATCATTTTATGTATCTTTGTGTAGTCTACTTGTGTGCCAAGTTATATTGAAATCAGATCAAAATTCTAGGAGGAGTAGCGTTCTAAAGGATTTCACAGAAAATTCTATTTTTAGTAACCATGGCAACACCGTTCATCGAAATCAAAAACCGATGCACTATTTTATGTATCTTTGTGTAGTCTACTTGTATGCCAAGTTATATTGAAATCAGATCATAACTGTAGGAGGAGTAGCATTTTAAAGGAATTTCAAAGAAAATTCTATTTTTAGTAACCATGGCAACACCGTTCATCGAAATCAAGATCCGATGCAATATTCTATGTATCTTAGTGTAGTCAACTTGTATGCCAAGTTATATTGAAATCAGATCATAACTGTAGGAGGAGTAGCATTTTAAAGGAATTTCACAGAAAATTCTATTTTTAGTAACCATGGCAACACCGTTCATTGAAATCAAAATCTGATGCACTATTCTATGTATCTTTGTGTAGTCTACTTGTGTGCCAAGTTATATTAAAATCAGACCAAAACTGTAGCATTTTGAAAAATAGTTTACAGACAGACGGACAGCTAGACAGACAGAAGGACGGACGACGGACACCTTACTATCGCATAAGCTCTTCTGGTCTCTGACCAGTAGAGCTAAAAAATGTTGTCTGGTCAAATTCTCCGAGTTAGGCTAAATAAGAGAAAGAAAGTGGCATCTAAGTAAGATGTGTTTATTTTCAAACAAAAATGAAATTATGTATTAATAATTTAGTATGTATTAGACCCATTAAAACCTAAATAAGCAACTCATAACGCTCTGTAGGGTCACTGAAATCACATTATGATGCGATACTGAACACTTACAGGAAGGGCGTTAATTTGTATACCAATACTAAATAAAATCATTAATTTGAGTTTTTTAGTGGGAATAATTATCATAAATTATGATAAAATGTGTTTAAATTAGCTATATAATAAAGGAGTTATTGAACTTCTATTGCTGAATATTGGCACTTGCAAGCTCGTGCATTTGTACAGCCAACTCATGTCAATATTCACCGATATAAGTTCAATGACCCTAGAATATTTCATATACTTAACACAAGTTTAGAGTTACATGTATAGCATTTGATACTGACATAGAGCAAAGACTTAGATTACCAGTTATTGTACATATACTTCTATCAACATTTTAAAATATTTAAAACTACTATTTAATGGTACATAAATTGTGGAGACTTTATCATACTATACACTAAACATCACCTACCTCTAGTTTCCAAAATGGAGGAAGCTTCACAGAGAAGAACAAGAACAGTCTGTCTGATGGTGGGGGGTCATTAGTTTTCATCTGATTCACCAACTCCTGAAAAACAGACACAAGCTTTGTTTCTATCACAGAAGTCATACACTTACGTACAGATAAACTTCAATAATTCTCAAACATCAATATCTGGAATATCATGGGTATGGCAAAGAGAACAGAGGGAAAAAGTCTTTTTTCATGTAAAATTTTATTAAGTATACTGTATACAGGGTTATTCTCGCCCCATGTCATTTTCACCCTTTTGCACTTGCAATCAATTTTGCTTCCTTTTAAATTCGCCAAGTCAAAATTCTGTTTAAAAGATTATGCAGTGTTCTTTGAATTTGCCCCGTTTTAAATTTACCTAATCATGAAGAGTGTGAAAAAAGCGAAAATAAAACGGGGGCAAAAATTTTCCTATATACAGTATTTAAACCTTAAATATATGAAAAAAAATAATATTCACTTTGCTGAACTGAAATCAAAATTTAACTGTACCTCAATCTGCATCATAGACCTCTCAACTCGCCGGCGACTTCCTTTCTCCAGACACGACCTTCGATAAAGACAGGCCAAAGTAATACTCCAACATTTCACCTGAGACAAAACACACTACAACAAAAATGTGCCATAATTACATTTTGTCAAAATTGCTCTAAACAAATAAGTCTTCATAGATCTACAGACATAGAAATTTGATTTGATATTTTGAATAATTTTTTCAGACATACAGTTAAATTTAAAAGCTGAATATCAAAATTTTGAACTGTTCATGCCCAGGAACTCTTAATACATGTAGAGGTTAACAGATATTTATGTACTAATCTCTAAGTATACATAGAAGATGGATCCCCGTTTCCTTTTTTCAGTGACTATACAAGTCAACCTCCATGAAAGCAGTAGCAACCACCATTGCCTCTATGTGAGCAGTAGCCAACTCCTTACCTCTATTTGAGTAGTACCTCTCCCCCCCCCCAACCCATCCCCAGTCCCTGGACAAGTACCTCTATATGAATAGAACCCCCCTCCTCAATCCCTGGACATGTACCTCTATATGAGTACCCCCCTCCCCTGCTGGAAATGTACCTCTATATGAGTACCTCCCCCTCTGCTGGACATGTACCTCTATATGAGTACCCCCCCCCCTTGGTGAACATGTACCTCTATATGAGTAACCCCCCCCCCTTGGAGTCGCCCACGTGGCGCAGTGGTTAGAGCGTCTGCTCTAGAGTTGCGAAGTAAGGAGTCAATCCTTACGTCGCGGGTTCGAATCCCACTGTGGGACGTGGAGACCGGTCCTTCGGATGAGACCGTATAAACCGAGGCCCCGTGTCGCAGTAGGTGCTGGCACAAAAAAGAACCCTCACTGCTCAAAAGCCCTGAGTGCCGAGCATAGGAAAAAATTTGTCGCCCCTCCACTGGCAAGTGATGGCATCTCCATACACTGTATGAGTGAAAAATTCTCGAGAGGGACATTAAACAACATACAATCAATCAATCAATCCCCCCCTTGGTGAACATGTACCTCTATATGAGTACCCCCCCCCTTTGGTGAACATGTACCTCTATATGAGTAACCCCCCCTCTAAATTTTGATTATAAAATATTATCAAAGATATTGGCAAAGAGGATGAAAACTTATTTACCTCATTTAATAGATTCTGATCAAACTGGATATTTAGAGAATAGATTTATAGGAGAAAATATAAGAACCATATCTGATCTTATAAACTATACTAGTATCAAGAATATTCCTGGTCTAATTCTTTTAGTGGATTTTGAAAAGGCTTTTGATAAGTAGAATGGTGTTTCATTGATAAAGCTTTAGAAGTATTTGGTTTTGGTGAAAGTTTCAGGCACTGGGTTCAAATCTTGTATACAGATATATCTAGTGGTGTCATAAACAATGGATATGCATCATCTTTTTTCAAATTAAGTAGAGGGGTAAGGCAAGGATGCCCTTTATCACCGTACTTGTTCATTTTATGAGTTGAACTGCTTGCAATAGCCATAAGAGCAAATAAAGATATATGCCGCATAAAAATAGGGAAGACTGAATTTAAGATAAGCCAGTTAGCTGATGACACAATATGTTTTCTAAGTGATGAAAAATCAGGAGTTGAAATATTTAAATGTTATCCAAAATTTCAAGCATTGTTCTGGACTGAAAATGAATTTGAATAAAACTGAAGCAATTTGGATAGGAAAAATTAAAATTTCAATCCAGGAATATTGCCAGTAAAATGGTCTAAAGGTGAATTTTTTACCCTTGGTATTTGGTTTAGTTCAAGTGGGGAACAAAAAGTCCTTGCAAAAAACTTAAATACAAAACTAGATGAACTAAAGGCAACTTTTAATTTATGGAAAATGAGGAACTTAACACTTATTGGAAAAATTCTAATTGTAAAAACTTTAGCAATATCTGAAATAGTATATCATGCACAAGTACTTCCACTTCCCCTACAAACGATAAAACAGGTGTCTAAAGAACTGAATAAATTCATATGGAATAATGAAAAACCAAAAGTTAAAAGCTCAGTATCCTGTCGAAAAATTAATAAGGGTGGATTAAAAGTTCCTAATTTTGAAGCACAAATGAAATCATTAAAACTTGTTTGGGTTAGAAGAATATTTAGTAATACAAAAGCAAGATGGAGAAGCACTATTCAATGCTACCTAAAGGATATAGTATTAAATGATTTTATAATTAGCAGAGGTTATTTAAATAGGCTATATGCATATTCAACATTACCACAATTTTACAGAGAAATTTTTTAAACATGGACACAACTAAGATGTAATGATATTGATATTGAACCAAAAATTTTTTAAGAAACTCTTTGGTTCAATGATAACATTAAAATCAATAATGAAACTGTGTTCTAGAAACAATGGTACACAAAGGGTATATTATATATTGGAGATATTTTAGGTGATAATTGTGAATTTTTAAGTCATGAGGAATTAAATAAACTGTATGGCTTGAATATATCCTTTTTTGATTACTTTTGTCTAAGAAATGCAATTCCATCTCATTGGCGGAAATATATAAGGCAAAACAAAAAAGTTTTATTCAAAAGAGATACTTTGATTTTAAGATTCAATGATAAAATAAGTCCATTGTCAAAAATATCTTGCAAAGACTTTTACTGGATTATAGTAGAAAGTTTTAATGAAGTACCAACATGTGTACAAAAATGGGAGAAAATATTCAGCACAAATTTTTCACCTACAGATTTAGAAAACATTTTCATGCTACCTTTTGTTTGTTCAAATGAAACACCTTTACAGTTTTTTCAGTATAAGCTAACTCATAGATTTGTATCACATAACAAACTACTGTTTCAAATGAAAATACAAACTTCACCACAATGCTTATTATGTAAAATGGAAGACACTTTAGAAAACAAATTTTATTACTGTGCTTCTGTTGCAACTTTTTGGAACCATTTTATAACATGGTGGAATAATCTACATATATTCAATATAGAAAAGCTTTCTTGTAAAAATGTTATTTTAGGTTTATATGAGAGTAAATGTGATGGTTTGAATTACTGCATTCTGCTTGCAAAGTCATATATACATTCTGTGTCTGTATCTAATTTGGATGTTGTTAAAAAGTACCTGAGTTACACAACTTTTTAAATCTGTTGAAAAAGAAATTACTCACTAAAAAGCAGTGTATTGCTCAAAAATTAATTTAGATAATTTTAATGAAGTTTGGCAACCAATATTAGATGTATTATAATCGTTATCTTATAATTTATTGTATTTTTACATACTATGCTATTATGTCTTAAAACAAATATAATTTCTCCCGTTTTATTTTTGATATACGTAATATATTGGAATCTTCTGTGTAAAAACAATGAGCATTTAATATGTATTAATTTATGTAGATAGTAAGCTCCAAAACAATATTTAATGTTCTATGAATCAGAAACATTGTCTGGTAAGATGTAGATAGATGTTATTTCCATAGTTATATTTGTTGCATGCCTTTTTGTGTTTAATAACATTGTATATGAAGAAAGAGCCAATTAAACCCCCCCCTTGGTGAACATGTACATGTACCTCTATATGAGTACCCCACTGCCTTGGTGAACATGTACCTCTATATGAGTACCCCCCCCCCTGCCTTGGTGAACATGTACCTCTATATGAGTACCCCTCCCCCCCCATCTTGGTGAACATGTACCTCTATATGAGTACCCCCCCCCCGCCTTGGTGAACATGTACCTCTATATGAGTACCCCCCCCCCACCTTGGTGAACATGTACCTCTATATGAGTACCCCCCCCCCCACCTTGGTGAACATGTACATGTACCTCTATATGAGTACCCCCCCCCCCCACCTTGGTGAACATGTCCCTCTATATGAGTCCCCCCCCCCACCTTGGTGAACATGTACCTCTATTTGAGTACCCCCCCCACCTTGGTGAACATGTACCTCTATATGAGTACCCCCCCCCCACCTTGGTGAACATGTACCTCTATATGAGCAGCAGATTCCTCTTCAGTGAGTCTCTCCTGATTGGCATGTGTCCTCAAGTGATCCTCCCTAAATATAGAATATAAAAGAGTAATGGTTAATTAGTCTATGGAATACATGTGCAACAGATTGAAACAAATATTTCAGTCTTCTGAAGCATGTACCAAACTTAACTTCACACTTTGACCTAAAGATCACAATATGAGAGCTACAATATGAGAGCTACTTGATTGTAGATGTGCATTTAAGGGATTCCATTCAAAATTTAAAAACAAATCAAGTGACCTACATAGTTGCTATGACAACAGCTTGTTCCCCAGGTGACATGTCAACAGCAAACTCTGTCCCTGGTTCTGTCAAATTAATGGCGTCTAACACCGTGTCATCATCTAAATTTAAAACCTGAAGAAAACACAAAGTAAACAAGTGAAGGAAAATACAAATTAAGCAACCAGAAGAGTGTTTTTCATTCTATGAACGAAATCAAAAAAACTCCAACACAGGATGAATTTTGTTTAACCTTGAAGGTTTGATCTCAATGTATTCATTTGTTGGTTCTTCCCCCTTTTAAGAATTTTCCCCTTTAGGGCCTCAAATTGATTGTATTTTCCTGTTAAGTTCCTCCTCTCTTCCCTTTTACTTAAACCTTTAGGAATTTAATTTGTTATGTATTCTCTTGATTCGTTCCCCCTTCTATACTAATAACATTTACCTTTGGGAGCCTCGTTTTGACTGTATTCTCTTGCTTGGTTCCCCCCTCGCCCCTTCTGACTTCCAGAACAAGCTGGGCTTTGTCTTCTACCTGGAATCTGGTTCTTTTCCCCATGGCACCTTAAAAACATCTGGAGAGTCATAAACCTGGGAAATGTAGGCACAGAAACATGACCACTGATGTACATGTTTAAATTCATTAAATTGTTGTACCATAAACGTTTCATTCACATCATTTTTTTTTGCATAATTATTTGAAAGACAGAATGATTGTAAAAATATCATTCTGGTGTATATAAGCATTCTTTAAGATCACATAGAGTAGTAACCATAATTCATGAAAATTTTGCCTTGTTAATAGAGAGTTAATGTCTTCATCACAAAAATACGGTTTCGCGAAAATTTGTTTTACAGTACATGTTTCAGATCACTGGAAGGGGACATTACTCCATGAACTTCACACTAAGTTTCATTCTTCTTATGCTTATACTGGAAGTCTACTCTTATTAAAACTACAATGAAAACTGAAATCAACCATATTCTGTGTGAATTTTTCCAGAAACCTTAATACTACCTGTTAGGTTTATCTGAAGCCCTGTACATTTCTTGGCAGCAAGAAGGTGCTCATGAGCCAGCTTATAATCAAAGAATGTATGTCCAATGTAACCAGCCTCGATATGAAACTGGGTCAGTAGGTCCCTACAAAACAAGAGTTGTTACGATGAGCAAAAAGAAAATATCTCACAAACTTATCCTCTCATTTTTGACAGTGGACTACAGTGAATTAATTCTATTATAGGATTAATAATTTATTGTGATTGTAACCCCCCTCCCCCCCCCCCACACACACACAATCTGTTTCTGCCAATATGATTCACAAAATAATCAGCCTCATGCCTATAGATTTACATTACTATACCTGTTTCCATCATCTGTCATAAGGGGCTCCTTCTTTGAAACTACCAGAAAAAACAAGGTTAAGCATATAAATAAAACAAATCTTTGAAAGAAAACATTATTCAACAGAAAATATGCTCAACAGAAAACTGGCAATATATATGGAATATATAGAGAGTATTTGTGCTATTCTATAGAAATTATACAGAGATCTGATTTGGGATTTGTAAAGGAAACAGTATTATACACCCTTTCAGTTTGAATTCCAGTTCTTATATTCTTACTTTTTTCTTACCTGTATCAATTAGAGCGTGCACCTGCTCTCTCAGGGAAGCACATTTATCCTCCAGAATCTGTTGGTAGACATACACACTCCTCAAAGTCCACCACTCAACTGTCTGTTAGATCATACAGAAATGTACACACATCACTTGTATTCTCAAAGATGGTGGGCACACAAATTAAAAAATAAAGTGCCACGCCACAGCATGATACGCCCGTCAAAAAATTACATAATTATCTCTAACAGTTTAGAGTGCAAGAAAATCATGTCAACCTTGATTTTGAGATTTCCGTGATTTTTCTATTTTTTAAAAAAATATTTCTTTATCCATCCCCTTTGCTGTAGGCATAATTATAACAAATATTACATAACTGATAGATTTCTATACTGTTTGTGTTAGACTTTGTCAAATGCTGGCATCATAATAAACAATATCAAATTAGTCTTAACAACTTAATCTATGCCAAATTAATTTTGAAAAGAAAGGCTGGCCATCAAATGACATATGCTATAAACTGACCAGCAGTTCTTCTGTTTAATCCCCAAAGG